AACCAAAAGTCTTCAAACTCAGCTCCTTAGGACACCCCGGGGCTCACGTACGGGCACGTGAAAATTTTTGGCGCGAAAATTACCAACTCTGGGACGCCAAAAACTAGAAGGCTGAAACTTTAGGGGAATGTTTCCTACACTTGTACGACCAAAATCAGGTGTTCAGAAGCGCCCGGGACCCACGTGCGGGCACATGGAAATTTTGGCGCGAAAATTACTAATCCGGGAGCAGGAGGAACTAGAAAGCTGAAACTTTAACGGAATGTTCCCCACTCACGTACGAGCACGTGGAAATTTTGGCGCCAAAATTATTAACTTGGGGACAGTAAAAGCTAGAAAGCTGAAACTTTAAAGAAATGTTCCCCACTCATGTAAGAGCAAAATCAGGTGTTTAGAAGCACACGGAGCCCACCGTGAAAATTACTAATCCGGGAACAGTAAAAGCTGGAAAGCCGAAACTTTAAAGGAATGTCCACTACTCATGTCTGACCAAAATCAGGTGTTTAGAAGCACCTGGGGCCCATGTACAGGCACATGGGAATTTTGGCGCGAAAATCACTAACTCGGAAACGGAAAAAGACAGAAGGCTGAAACTTTAGGACAATGTTCCCTACTCACGTATGACCAAAAGATTTTAAATTCAGCTCCTTAAAACCGTCCGGTAATCACGTATGGACACGTGAAAATTTTGGTGGGAAAACTGCCAATTCGGAAAAGAGATAAGCTGAAGGCTTTAATTTTGAGGAAATGTTCCCTACTTGTGTGCGACTAAAAGATTTTAAATTTAACTCTTCTAGTGAGGTCTTTTTTGCGGACCAGCACTTTCCATTTGCCGGGTCACTAAAGCCGACGTCTACAACTGACATACCACATAGTTACGCAATCAACTTCCCGAACTTCGAGGGCTAGTATGTCATAGGGTTAGCTACTACGATTTTGCTATGGCACGAAAAGTGCAAAAACGCATAATCGCACCGGCCCCGCCTGGTGCGTCCCAGTCTGGGTCGTTTTTGTAATAAACAGTCTGGGTCGTTTTTGTTATATACACAAACTACAGCCCAGGCTGGAACACACCAAGAGAGCCGGTGCGATGATGCGTTTTTGCATCAAACTTGAATTAATTAGGTTAACTGCATGAACGGTTGTTCCTTCACACTTACCTTCTGCGCTCAATACCGTAAATCATCGCAAATTTTGCATAAAAGGAAATAAACAATTTCTGCATAGCGATCGTTTTTATGCGTTTCTACCTATATGCAAAATGGCAAAAACGCATATTGAGACGACCCCGTCTGTGTGTGTATTTATGTGTGTATGTGTGTTCGTCTGTCCGGGTATTTCAACTCGGCAAGCAATCAAGTTCCAGCGCCGAGGTTTTGCTAGTGGGTACCCCGGCCAAGTACCACCCCAGAACCGCGATACCGTCCCTCACGCACGTCTGGGCCCCGCGTACGAGGGGGGAAAGTTTTGGCGGGAAAATTGATAACTCGGGAACGCGAAAAGACAGGAAGCTGAAATTTTGAGGTCATGTTCCCCGTTCAAATATAACTCAAAGATTTCAAATTCAGCCTCTCGGTGCGCGTGGTTCTCGCGTACTGGCTCGTGAGATTTTTTGGCGGGAAAATGGCAAGCTCGGGGACTAGCAAATTTTCAGGGAATGTTCCTAGCCCATGTACGACTCAAGTTCATCAAATTCATCCCCCAGGCTTGCGCGGCTCCCACGTACGGCTCCGCAAAACTTTTTGGCGGGAAAATGGCTAACTCGGGAATTAGTAAAGATGGGAAGTTGAAATTTTCAGGAAATGTTCTCAATCCACTTACGACTTAAAGTTATCAAATTCAGCCCCCAGGCATGCGTGGTTCTCGTGCACGGGCTCTTGAATTTTTGGCGGGAAATTACTCATTGAACGGCTGGATCATTTTCAAAAAACGACCGCTAAACGGATATTGTTTATTTTCTTTTATGCAAAATTTACGATCAGTTACGGTATTGAGAGCACAAGGTAGGTGTAAAGAAACAAACACTCATGCAGTTAACCTAATTATTTCAATTCTGGTGCAAAAACGCATGATCGCACCGGCTCGCCTGGTGCTTCCAGCCTGGGTTTGAAAATGACCTAGCTGTTCAATGGGTATTTTTCCAGCCAAGAATTTAAGTGCCGTACAAGAGAATCAAGCGTGCATGGAGGCTGAATTTGAAAACTTTAAGTTGTACATGGACGGGAAATGTTCTCCAGCATTTCGGCTTTTCTGGTTCCCGAGTTAGCAATCTTCCCGCCTAAATTTTCACAGGGTCGCACGTGGACTGGGAGCATACCTAGGACTAGGTTTGGAATTTTTAAGCTAAATGCAGGCTGGGAACGTCCCTTAAAAATTTCAGCCTCCCAGCTTTCCCGGTTCCTGAGTTAGCTATTTTCTCGCCAAAAAATTTCACGAGGCAGTACGACTGGGGACCGAATTTGAGAACCACGTACGACTTGGGACCGAATTTGATAGGTCTGTGTTGTGCTTAAGCTGGGAACATTCCTTGAAAATTTCAACCTCCCAGCTTTCCTGGTTCCCAGGCTAGAGATATTCGTGCCAAGAACCCTCAGGGGACTGTAGGGGGAACCGCGCGCACCTGGTAGCTGAATTTAAAATCTTTGAATTATATGTGGACAGGGAACGTAACCTCAAAATTTCAGCTTTCTATCTTTTTTCGTTTCCGAGTTGGCGATTTTCCCGCCAGAACTTCCATCCTCTCATACGCGGAGCCCAGACTCGCGTGAGGGTTGGTACCGCGGATCTGGGGTGGCACTTGGCCGAGGAACCCAGTAACAAAATCTTGGCGCTGGAACCAGCTTAGTCGCCGAGTTAAAATAGCTGGGCAGACGACCACAAACATACACATACACATAGGGCCGCTGTATGCAATTTGCATATAGGCAAAAACGCATAAAAACGCATACAGTGACGACCCTGTCTGTGCATGTATGTGTATGTTTGTGTGTGTGCGTGTGTGTGTGTTCGTCTGTCCGGGTATTTCAACTCGGCAACCAAGCAAGCTCCGGCGCCAAAATTTTGCTAGTGGGTTGCCCGTACAAGTGCCACCCCAGGACCGAGGTACAAACTCTCATGCAAATCTGGGCCCCGCGTAAGAAGGGGCGAAAGTTTTGGCGAGAAAATTG